CCCCCAGACTCTGAACCACTCAAAGAAGTGACTGTGTCAAGGGCAGGTCAGGGGTGCACCAGGGGTCATGAGACATGACAGAGGGGCTGGCAAAGGGTGACCTGTGTGGGCCATGGGTGGTATAGGCTTTTCTGTGAGGCAGATGGGTCCTGGCTTGCTCTGCCCACTTTTGGGCCTTTAAGGAGCTGAAGGCTGAGGGGTGAGGGCACCCCTTGCTGTGCACTGGTGGGCTTGCTGTGCCAGGGTGGGGCTGCTCCTCCTGGTTTGAGGTATCTGAGCCATCCTAGGGCCGGGCCATCTGTGTCGGGAGCAGTCGGCTCAGCCCTGACTCAAGTGGTCACGTCCTGGGGCCCCAGAGGCCCTGGCTTTGCACAGTGGCCAAAGTTCTATGCTGTCCTGTGTCTGAAGTGTCAGAGGAAGTAGGGTCACCTTGGTCCTCATGGCTGGTGGTGTCATGTGTCAGGGGCGGATTAGACAGCCTTCATCCAGCTGGTCAGTTGAGGATTACAGCTCACAGCATCAGAGGAGATAACAGGAGCCTGGGTGCTGGGGAGACTGGGCTGGCCCACCCAACCTGCCCCTCCCAGACCCCTGCCTGGGACAGAGGGGTAGCCAGGCCCTCCAGGTTGAGAGCAGGAGGGCAGCCCATGGCCAGGAGCCAAGGGGCAAGACCTGGCAGTGAGGAGGCCAGGCAGCCTTGGGCTTTGGGCTGGGCCTTGGGGCTAGGTGGGTGGGAGGAAGGGGTGCCCCAGATTGGGACAAGGGGGTCCCAAGGGCAAGAAGGAGAACTTGGGCTTCTTGGGCATGATGAGTTGCAGGCTCTTGAGCCAGCAGTGAGTGGCTCAGTGTTGTGGAAGAAGGGGTGTCTAGTATGTGGGGGCTGGATGGAATGAGGTCAGGGCAGTAACTCCAGGGTCAGCAAGTGAGAAAGGTGAGCATGTCCCACTCTGCCCAGGGCAAAGGGCATGTTTGGCCCTAGGCACCAAGTGTCTAGGATGTGAGGTCTCATCCAAGCCGGGATTCACCACCCATGGGATTCGCCTAGCTCCAGCTCTGGTCAGGAAGGGACCTTGGTTCTGACACTCCTTGGCATTCCACCCAGACCTCTGGCACAGGCAGTGATGTATGTGTGGGGGTGGTGGTGATGAGTGTCCAGAGGCCCCTTCTTCCTGAGATGCATAGACTTCCCACTTCCTGTTCCAGCAGCTAATAGTTTCCTAATCCAATTCTGAAGCAGAACACGCAAAGCCACTGACCGCCCTCTGCAGATAAGTTAGTTAGGGCCCCCTTGGCAAAGGCATTTAATTGAGTTCTGAGGTTTGGCTCCCAGCTGACCACATTGGCTCTGGCTGGTGGTACTCTGGGCTCTCTGACCAGTTCACCAACTCCATGTCCTCTCTGCATTCCCCCCTTCCCAGTGACCTTGGACCCCTGTGGCTCTGTCATGACTCGCCCCTCCCCCCCATTTTGGGTTTTGTGGTCCCTCCATCTGTGTAGGATGTGAGGGGTTAAGTACCCCTCCCCTCATGGACACTGCTGCCAGCCTCCCAGGAGCCTCAGGACAGCTGGGGAGGGGGCAGGGAGCTCAAGGCAGGGTGGGGGGCCACCATTAATGAGGTCTGCCCATACCAAGGCCCAGGCACTGCCTGCAAGCTGTCCCTGGAGACCACCAGATTTCCAGCAGGACCCTGGGGTGGGTGAGACTGATACCTGGCTGTTCCTTCAAGGTCTAATGTTGCCCAGTCAAGGGAACAAAGTGGGTATGGGGAGGGATGGGTTCAAAGGCCCAGTGTCAGAAGACCCTAGGGGTCCCCAGCACTCAGTCGAGTGCTTACCACAGTGGGTAGCCAGGACTGTGGTAAAAGCTGTAGCAGGAGTCCCAGAGCTGTCCTACCCCTGGGGCCTCCATGCAAGCCCTGGCTACCCTTAACCAGGAGGAAGTTTTGCCAAGCTAGCCTAGGGGTAAGGCAGGGCAGGGTGCCCAGCAGCCCCCCAATAGCAGGCCATGGTGTCTTTCTTCCTTCCCACTCCTGTGTCCTGCCCCCTAAAAGTGGCACCAGGGGGCTACCCACTGCTGCCTGGGGCTGCCTATTGGCTAGGCCCAGGGTTCAATTGGAAGGCAAGGAGCAGGGTCCTCCCTAGGTCCCCCCTGAGGCCAGGTGGTGGCCAGAGGAGTGGGAAAGAAGAGAGGCTGACCATGCCTCAGGAGTTGGAATTTGCCTGTGTGCCAAGTGCCTCTGCCAGTGGGAAAGGTCACTAGTCTGGGCTTTGGAGGAGACTACCAATGGCCCCAGGGCCTTGCATCAAGCTGTGTGAGGAGGGGGTGCTCGACCTGGGCCTAGGGACCTTTGCCCTCTGAAAGGCCCTCCCATGCCTGTGACCACCTCTGGGCCAGGCGGAGGGCGGGGAGCAGGTTGGGGGCTCCACCTTATAGAGGACTAGGGTCTGGACCCCAGGACAAGATAGTGTTGCTCCTGCCTCACCTTAGGACTCAACCACCTCCAGACTGTGGAAGCCTTCTCAGGGGTCCCTGTGAGTATGGACCCCAGCCTTAGAGTTCCACCTTGAGGAGGGGTGAGATAGGAGCCCCAGGCCGGGCTGATCATACAGCTGTTTTCTGGAGGTGGCCTCAATCCCCATGGGGCCACTCTCCATCTTGCCAGTCATGACTTGGCCCTGGGGGCTGACACCTCTCTGGTCCCCTCCTAGGTGCCCAGCTGAGAGTTTCCTTGGCCTGAATCCTCTGAGCAGCTGGGCTCGATGGTGGCCTCAGATCAGCATTGGGATTGGGCCAAAGGAGGCAGGGGTGAGGCTTAACCACTCCCCACACCCACTGGTCACTGGATGATGCTCCTTTGGGTATTTCAGTGGCTCTGGAAGGTGGGACAATCTAGCCTGGGATGTAGTTGACAATTAGGTTATGCCAGAGGAGTCTGGGAGCAGCTCTGTGGGGGTCTTGGGGAGCTTAGGGGTACTGGGGAGGGGTTGGAGGAAGTCAGAGAAGGGACCCAGAGCCCCGGCACTCATGCCCGCCTTGGCCTGACATGACAGTGGCCCCTTCTGGCCTCCATGTGCCCGCCCTGTTCCTGACCACAATTCTGCACAACTTCAGCCAGGCCTGTTGCCTACCACTGGGCCCAAGGAGCAGTGACCTGTTTGGCTGAGACACTGCTCCAGATCAGAGGGAATGTGGCATGTGTCCAAGGTGGCAGGGGCCAGCCTGCCCACCCCAAGGGGGAGGGGCAGGGTGACTGGGCACAGGCCTCTGGGGCCAATCCAGGTGCAAAAGCTCCTAGTTGGACTCTCATGGGAGTGAGGAGGGGCTGACCCTGGAGGTATCAATGGTCTGGGGTCTCCCATCCCCCCTTTGGCCAACCTCTATCCTTATGCCCCCTTGGGTCTCCCTCTGAGGATCAAGACTGGCTCCAGCAGCAGCCTCAGGACTGGCCTCTCCAACCCGTCTGCCTCAGAGCAGCCCTGGGAGGTGAACCCAGGCAGGAAATGAAGGTTGGCAAGGGAAGGAGAAAGCTAGAGGCCAGGGCCCCGGGTGGATGCTGAGTAGGGAGCTAAGGGAGAGTCCCAGTGACTTTGGGGGACAGCAGCACCTTCAGTCCAGATGGAGGTGGGACCAAAGTCTTGGTGCTTAGCAGAGCACCCTCTTGCTCCTATGAGCCCCTGTGGTGGGGCAACACCCCAGCCTGAGAGGGGGAAGGTCTCATGGTCTATCTTAGGAGGCCCGGAGCAGCCTCAATGGGGCTGTCCACCAGGGTCTCTGCTTCACTGGTGGATGGATTGGGTCCAGGCGACTACCCCTGGGCTCTGTTATAGGTCTTCTGTGGCTCAGCCCTGTGGCCACCCCTGCCTCTCTCTCCCCATCCCCTTTCCCTCATCCCTGACCCATGCACCCCACCCCGCCCCACTGCCAAGGCTCCCTCCTCTCCAAGATTCAATATTGACTTCTGTCCAGAAGTTCTCACTGACCTGTCCCCTCAGGCTGGGGTCCCTTGTGGTGTAGACTTCATGGGGTTGTGGTTCCTTGGTACTTGCCAAGTGCGGAGCTTTCAATGAGCTGTGTAAGGGTCCAGGCAGCTGGTCTGAGCCTGCAGCTCCCACAGTCAGGCACTCTGGTCCTGAAGCCGGCAGCACAGCCCACTGTGACCTGGGAGAGAAACAAGCTCAGACAGAGGAGGAGAGAGGGCAGTGGGCCTAGTAAGAGGGCCTGGTTTCCAGAGCTCAGATTGGCTCTGCACTCAGATCTGTGCCCTGGGGTCTTGGCCTCTCTGGTCCCTCTCCCCCTTGTCCCCTCTGGCCTTTCTTCCCACTGTCCTTCATGGCTGGAGGAGCCTCAAAGAGGATGTGTGATTGGTACTGGTGCTACTGTGAGTCCACAGGGATGGATATCTGGTGTCACAGGAGGGGGAGCAGGTGCCCAAGAGTGAGACCAGCTTCTCTCAGGGGTGGCCCATGTGTTGGAAGGCCAGCAAGCCAGACCATGTGTCACAGGGTGTCCACCACCCTCCCAGGTGGGCCCTGTGCCTAGCAGAGGCCTCCAGTGCAGAGAGGCTCCTGAGCTTGGCCGCTGTGGGGCCCTGCCAGCTCAGCCACTGCACTGTAACCCCACAGTGCATGATCCCTCTGAGAAGCTGATCCTGGTGGGGACAGGGTAGGCAGGTGACCCAAGTGGGGTAGGACCTTGCCTGGCCCTCCATCCCTAGAACCAATGAGGGAGAGGAGGCCATGTCTCCCAGTGGCCCTGACTGTGGGCGAGCCCCAGTTTGAGTAGGATCAGGTGATAGCCTGGGTTTGCACCTAGAAGTTTTGGGAATGGGCAGTAGGTGGGTGGTCTCATGCTCCCTCCTGCACTAGAAAGCACTGGGAGGGCATGTGGAATCATGGGGAAGAGGACAGGTTGCCGTGAGGGTGGCATTGCCCTGTGTTCACCAGCACTCTGTCTGTGTCTCCATCTGTCTGTCTGTCCACGTGTGTGTCCAGTGGAGCGGTGCATGAGTGCCATGCAGGCAGGGACACAGATGGTGAAGCTCCGTGGCAGCTCCAAAGGCCTTGTCCGATTCTACTACCTGGATGAGCATCGGTCCTGTATCCGCTGGCGGCCCTCACGCAAGAATGAGAAGGCCAAGAGTGAGTGCAGGGTCAGGCATGGGGGAGCGTGCAGTGGTGGGGGGCGGTGGTGGGGGAAAACCTTGGATTGGGGCAGGTACAGAGACCCTGGGTTAAAACCCCTGGGGGAAGAGTAGGGACCCCTCTCAGCCAAAAGACAGCTAAGGGAGCAATAAGACCCTGCCCCTAGTTGTTGTTCGGTGCTGTCAAGTCATCTCTGACTCATAGCGACCCTATGTATAGCAGAATGAAACACAGCCTGGTCCTGTGCCAGCTCCATGGTCATTGCTATACCTGAGCCCATCGCCACAGCCACTGTGTCAATCCATCTTGTTGAGGGTCTTCCCCTTTTTCATTGACCCTCCACTTTACCAAGTGTGATACCCTTCTCCAGGGAATGGTCCCTAGATTTGTTAGTTCTTCTAGCAGTCCATGGTATGCTTAGCATCCTTCTCCAACACCACAACCCAAAAGAATCAACTCTTCTTCGGTCTTCCTTTTTCATTGTCCAGCTCTCACATGCATATGAGGTGTTTGAAAATACAATGGCTATGTCAGGCACCCCTGGAAGTCTCTAGATAAGTCCGGGCCTTGGACATAGGCTCATTTTTAGCCTTGGAGTGACATCTGGACCATGGGGTGGGGATCCAGGGCCCTATCCCCTTAGGACCCTTGCCTGGCTTTGATGCTACCTGGCAGAATCTCTGGGACTCAGTGGGTTCATGCAGCTCCACTGGGGCCCAGCCCTGTGCCAAATGCTGGGGTGGGTGAGAAGCCAATGGATGGACAGAAAGAGACCCAACCTGGGCCCTGGGGTAGGATGGTGAGGCAGCTCCTGAGCTGGGTGGGTCTGCACAGACAGAGGGAGGGCAGGCAGGGGTAGAGGTTCCACAGGTCAGGAAGGGCCATATAAGCACACTCTCAGCCTGAGAGATGGGAGTTTCCACACCTGCTTGGTGTTATGGACCTGGGCGGGACCAGTTGTCTCCAGGGCCTCAGCTCAGCAGTTGCCAAGGGCACCACCACCACCACAGGCCCTCTGAGAGAACCTGCTACAGAGGCCCCAGGGCCTGAGCATGGGTGGCCACTAGGGAGGTGTCCTGGAGCAAGGTGAGGGGCAGGCCCCCAGTGCTCAGGTGTGTCTACTCTGTGCTAGGCACTGTTCCCTCTCCCTGCACAGATGGAGAAACTGAGGCCCAGGGAGGGGCAGACACCCCTCAGGGTACCTGGAGACAGTGGCAGGACAAGAATGGGGACCAAGGATCTAGAAAGGGCTCTTTCCATAACATTCGAGGCTCTTGAGGGGGCTCAGCATCCTCATCTCACACTGGGGCTGACTGATGGTCCCATGGGCATCCTGGGTGCCATGAGCATTAGACACGGAAGTATTTGGAAGGTGTTGGCACACAAGCCAGCACAGATCAAGCAGGCAGGAGATGGGCACTGGTGTTGAGGGTTGTTGGGCATCAGTCCTTGGTGATGCCATATACAGGGTGTCTGTCCCCCCCACCATAACCCTTTTTGTGCCTGGTACCATGGTGCCATGAGTGGGCCCTACTGTGAGCAGGAGCAAGCCTTTTACAGAGTCCCTCTAAGTTCATCTGTCCACAATAACTCAGTGTTTTAAACAGAGGCTCCTAGAGCCTGGGCACCAGGACCAGTCATGAGATCCTTGTTGGAATCTCAGCCAGGCTGCTGTGCCTCTGCCCCCTACCCAGTGCCAAGCGTGTTAGGAGGCAGCCAAAGCTGTCTGCTAACAACTACCTTCCTGGAAGGGGGGACGAGTTGGCCAGGCAGATGATCTGACTACTCCTCACAGTCTTACTCTGCTCCTCGACCAGGGGACATTTGGGGTGCTCACAGGAAGAGGAAACACCCTTATTTTTTGAGGGAGTATCTTTTTCATGCTCCAAGTTGGGGAGTGGGAACCACACTGTCAGAGCTGAGTAGGAAGGGTGGTGGAAGGGGGCTTGGCTGCCTAAGGTAGTGTGCATCGTTTCCTTCTCCCAATCTGAAGCGTGCCAGAATGGGGTGGTGGTGTCCCTGAGCCCCCTGCCCCCAGTGCACCCTCTGAGCATTGGTGGCCTACTGACATGGCAGGCTGGACCAGAGCATGGTGGGAGATGAGAGGGCAGCTGTGTGGAGCCCCTGAGGGGATTATCACTCCGAAGCCCCAGCTCCCAGGTTAGGTACCTCTGTTTTCCATTGCTGCTGCCCAAGCTTCTAAGCTGGCTCATGGAAACAGAGCTGTGCCCTGAGGGAATGAGAGAGTTTCATTCCCATCACGGAGAGGAGCCCCCAAAAGTGCAACAGCCTTGGCACTGAGAGGGACTGCAGCTTGGTGATGAGCTGTTGCTATGACGACAGCTCAGCACTCTAGCATGACCCTGGGCCACTCGATCCCTCCATGGGGTTCCCAGGCCCTATAGGCTCCAGACTGTGGGCCAAGGGAAGGGGCAGACCTAGGGGACCCATGACCCTGCTGATCCTGCCCTGCTCCCTGCCCGCAGTCTCCATCGACTCCATCCAGGAGGTGAGTGAGGGCCGGCAGTCAGAGATCTTCCAGCGTTACCCCGACAGCAGCTTCGACCCCAACTGCTGCTTCAGCGTCTACTATGGTGACCACCGTGATTCACTGGACCTGGTCTCACCTAGTGGGGATGAGGCACGCACCTGGGTCACTGGCCTGCGCTACCTCATGGCCGGCATCAGTGATGAGGACAGCTTGGCCCGCCGGCAGCGCACCAGGGACCAATATCCTTCGGGAGGTACAGGGTGGGGCAAGGACTGCGTCCCCACTTATCCCCCCAGGCCGGGTGACACATTGGGGAAGGGAGGATGGGAGCACACGTGGAATGGGGACCAGACCCCTGCCCTGTGGACGGCTTTGGCCCCTAACTTGGCCCCAAAGTGGCTGAAGCAGACATTTGATGAAGCTGACAAGAACGGGGATGGCAGCCTGAGCATCGGTGAGGTCCTACAGCTGTTGCACAAGCTGAACGTGAACCTGCCACGGCAACGTGTGAAGCAGATGTTCAAGGTGAGGTGGGGGTGGGCAGGCTTCCTGCTATGGGGTCCCTGTGGAGGACTGGGGGCCACATGGAGGCACAGCTTTGCTTGAGCTGGCAGGGTCCTGAGTGACACCAGTCCAGCTGCAGAGGAGTGGTCTGCAGGGGACACAGGGAGGGAGCTAGGCGGGCAACCTTCCACCAGCCCTGGGAAAGGGAAGCCAAGTGCCGACCAGACCACTAGACCTACTCAGGTGGATGAACTGGGCATCAAGGACAGGGGACAGCTCCCTGAGGGAAGTGCCCAGAGGAGGCCACGGCCCCTCTGCTGGCCCCCCAACAATGCCACAATAGGATGGGCCTGGCCCAGCCTGGGCACCAGGTGCCCTAGCAGGCACCACTCAGCCGCCCCCTCCAGACACCTTCCGGGCTCTGCAGTCCCTCAGCTGCTCTGTTGTTAGAAGTTATGAAAATGCATCCCCTATGTGCTTTAGCCAGAGCTGCAGCCTTTATTGTCTGTAATTAGCTTTTGTCTTCCTGGAACCCCTGCTGGGGTGGGAACAGGAGCTGTCAGCAGATCCTGCTCTGGTGAGAACGGGCTGCTCTCGAACCTCACCACCCCACTGTGGGCCTCGTCTTGCTTTCAGCTGGTGGAGGGTTCTTGAGCAGGATGTCAGGCTCTGCATCCCCCACCTCACCCTTGCCCCAGCCTGACATCTTGTCCTGGGCTCTAGTTGCTTGTCTCTAGATGGACAGGCCGGTCGCGCTTGGCTGAAGCGAGGCAGCTGGCCTGGCTCAGAGCAAGTAGGTCTGTGTGTGGATGGGTAGGGGGCAGAAGGCTCTCAGGTCCTGCCTGTGAGAACTAAGGGGGCTGGGCATGTCACTCACCGGATTGCTGCCTGCCTGTCGATAGGCCATCCTGACTCCAGGGGCTCCTGGGTTCAGCACCCCTTCCAGGGAGATGAGGCTGACAGGCTGACAGGAGGGAGTCAAGGCCCTCGATCAGTCGGCTGTGAGGGTGCCCAGCTCCTGGGATTGACGTTTGGGCTCAGAGTCCTGGCTGGAGGAGGCCCACATGTGTGTGTGGGGGGCTCTGGACACCCCCACCCTCAGTCCTCTGTAAGGACTCTAGACCCTGACTCATGGTGGCTCCATGCACAGTGGAACAAAACGTTGCCCATCCCAGCGCCATCTGCATGAGTTGTTGCAGATAAGACCATTGTGATTCATAAGATTTGTATTGGCTGATCTTCAGTGGATCACCCGGCCTTACTTCCTAGTCTGTCTTCGTCAGGAGACTCTGCTGAAAACTGTTTAGCATCAAAGCAACATGCAGGCCTCCTCTGACAGACAGATGGTGGCTGTATGTGATGTGCATTGGCTGGTAGTTGAACTCGGTTGTCTCTCATGGAAGGAGAGTAGTCTACCACTGAACCACCACTGCTTCACCTCAAACCCATAGCCGCCCTCAAATCTAGTGTCAGATGCACCAGGTGTCTGTGAGCCCTAGCACCACCTGGGCTGGGCCCCTCACACCAAGCTGGTGCCTCCCTTGACTCAGTTCTTGGGTCCCAGAGCGGTTTGTGGAGGCCCTGCTGGCTGCCCCGCCAGGCCAAGTCCCATGCTGGAATTCAGCCAGAAGCACACCAGGGCCCTGCATGCCCAGAAGCCCTGCTGTCATGGGGACAGGGACATGGAGTGTGGCAGTGGCCAGTGCACTAGCTGGAATGCTCCCAGCTCAGAGGGGACCTCAGAGATCCCCCTCACTCCTCACTGTCTGCAGGAGGAGGCCAGTGGGCAGCGATGCCCATGGTTCTGACAGTGTTTTCAGTCCTGCTTTGCTGAGCTGTTCCCCATGGTGCACCAGGGGTGTAAGAGCCCTGGGCCCTCAGCTGTGTTCAGGCCTTGGGCTGTTCTGAGAAGTGAATTACCCCTGGTGGCCCTTCCTTCTCTTGCCCTCCAGTAACACCCCTTGTGGGCTCTTTCAGGTTTCCTGGGAGACCCCAAGGGCAGTTGCTGAGATAGCCCTCTGCCCACACCATCTCCAGGTGGCCCCTGGCCCACCCACCCAAGGACTTTGTCCTATTTCAGGGACCAATGAGGGTCTAGAGACTCTGTGGGGACCTAGGGGCTCAGGCAATGTCTGTGGATGATGGTGGCCATGGTCCTCAGTGCACAGGCCTGGGGAGATGGTGCAGCTGCAAACAGAGGTAGATTGGTAGCTTTGCCTGGCTGGGCCTGCAGCCACCCCACTAGCTTCTCTGTGAGCACTGGGACAGGTGGGCGTTTGGACTGGCAGAGCCACAGCCAGCCTGGTTTGCTGAGCTCAGCTGCTCTGCAGAGAGCAGGGCCAACCATCCATTCACCAGGCACCCCCTGAGGAGAAGGAGCTGAGCTGGGTGCCAGCCAGAGCCCAGTGCCTCCAAGCAGATCGTGTTCCCACTCTACCTCTATCCACCTGGTCCGACGTCCCCCCATCACAGGCCTCAGCCCAACCTCTATGTTCTAGCAACCTTTCTTGCATACCTCCAGGTGCCCCTAGCCCCTGGACACCTCAGGCATCCTCTGCTCTCCAGCTGCTGGGATGCCACTATCCTGTGGGTCTATCCCTAGACTTGGGGTTCTTTTAGGAGGTTTGTGCCTTGTCCCTCGACATCCTGGGGTCTGGCATGTTGTCAGTAAATGCTGTGAGCAGATGGGTTCACCAAGGAGCCATACCCTACTGGAGTCCCTGGTGGGTCTGTGCCTTGGAGCCACCACCCCTGCAAGGAGTCCCAAAGGGTTCCTGGGATGTCTTGTGAGCAAAAGGAAGGCAGCAGCCAGGAACAGGTCCTGTTTGTCTCTGCCAGGGAGACGTGGGGTCTGTGGCCATGAGCGTTCCTAATTAATGAGCATCAGCTTCATCAGAGGCTCAGAGGCCTGGAGCCCAGGGCAGGTGCCGACTCCCAGTGTGGGAGATGGTGTCAGGACTGACTGTAGACTGACCTTGGAAGACACAGAGCCAGGGGGTCAGATTTGTGTTTTAAAAGGGTCACCCTGTCACTTCTTGGTGGGGAACCTGGTGAAGACAGCCATAATTGTCTGTGCCGCAGTGATGTGGCAGTGATTGTCTGGGGTATGGTGATGCAGCAATGACATGGGAAAGGGGGGTGGAGCTAAGGTTCTGGTAGGCCAAGGAGGGGAATGGGCTTGAGGACCCCTTGTGGCTGTGCAAGGATGCAGACAGGGACCCAGAGGCCTTGGATTACAGGAAGCGGACACAGATGACCAGCAGGGCACGCTGGACTTCGAGGAGTTCTGTGCTTTCTACAAGGCGATGTCCACCCGCCGAGACCTCTACCTGCTCCTGCTAACCTATAGCAACCACAAGGACCACCTGGATGCCACTGACCTGCAGCGCTTCCTGGAGGTGGAGCAGAAGGTGAGGGGGCAGAGGGGGTCCCAGTGCAGCTGAGAGCATGGGGACAGTGCATCTACAGCCTGGCCTCTGCAGCCTGAATCTGCCTCTGCTTGATAGCACCTGCTCACATCACTATATCAACCTGGGCCAGGGTCACCCGTGGGGGTCTACTGCTTGGAGAAAAGGGTTTGTGGCTTCTCTACTGGGCCCTGTGATGGGTGCTGTCCTGGCCATGGCCACCCAAGCTTCCAGTGAGGACTTGGGTTTTGTGGCTCAGATTTGAGGAACTGCCCCCTATGTGCCCATGCTCTCCTCTGGGGCTGGCTGGCCCCTCTCCAGGCCCAACCCAGGGCCACCTCCACTCACCATTTGCCCAGCAAAGGCCTGTTGCCTCATGGGCACTGCGCCCACACCTTGACTCCAAAAAGCCCCATGCAGTCCAGGGGCCCAGGTCATATTCTCCCAGGAATTGGCCTGCTGGCCCAAGGCCCAGTGTCCAGAGGCTCAGGGTATGGACTCCCCTCCCAAGGTGAATGGCCTTGACTGGGAGCCTGCCATGATAGGAATGGGCACAACTCCTTGAGAGAGTGCTTCCATGGAAGAAGCCCAGACAGTGTGTGTCTCATGCTCTCAGGGCTGACAGCAGCCACCATGAGAATCAGTGTTGTATGTCCCTTCTCCCAGGACCCTCATGGGCCCTCTTTAGGAAGAAGAGAGGGGGAGGGACAGGCCTCAGGCAGCCAGTTCTGAGGGCTCAGGGACTCTGCCTACCTGTGACAGTGCCTCACTGCCACTCAGCCACGAGCGTATAGTCAAGGTTGTGGTGATAGGAGACAGGCATCTGCCCCTGAGTGAGGGTAAGGTGTCAGGAACTGCTGGGACCACCTGCAAGGGATCCCAAGCTAGAGGTATGGGTCTGCCCGCAGTGCCCCCACTGCCCTCCCAGTTCGGAACCCTCTGCACCCCGCCTCTTGAGGCTGCCCCCTAGGCCCATGTTCCTGGGCCCCCCTTGACCTGTAGCTGTTGGGGTTCCCGCACTCTGTGCTGTCCTCTTGTCCTGCCGTGCAGCACAACGTGCTGGCCATCTTATCAGGCTGGGTTCTGCTGCTGCTGCTCTGGGGTGATTCCCTCCCTAGCTTGGCTACTGTAGGGGCATCAGTGAGGTGACCTGGTCATGGATAGTAGGTTCGAGGTAGGTTAATAGGTAGGCTAGAGCCTCTGTCTAGGCTCCTGGCCTCTGTAAAGGAGAGGAAGGAATGTGGCCCAGGATAGGAGATGAGCAGAAATGATCTTTCTGTCCCCAACCTTTGCCCTCAAGCTTTCCAGAGTCTAGGGCATAGTGCCTAAGACATTTGACTGCTAACCAGAAGGTTGGTGGTTCAAACCCACCAGCCACTCTGCGGAAGGAATACTGGGCAATCTACGTCCATAATGATTTACTGCCTCAGAATCCCAAAGGGGGTCACTATGAGTCAGAATTGACTCTATGGCAGTGAGTTTGGTTCTGGAGGGCTGAAACAGTACCCACAGCAAGAGGTTGTAGCCTTGGCTGTGTCTCCTGGCTCTGGGCCTCCCCAAGGGCACATAGCTGGAAGCAAGCATTGACCGCTTTTTCACCCACCTCGCCCATCTCCACCCCTCCCTGCCACATGCACACATTCCTGGGGACTTCCTGGGAAGCCCTGATGGAGGAACTGCTGCTGAAAACCAAAGTTCTTGGCCTTGACAGCACCACTAGATGAGTCCTGGAGTGGGGACTAAAGAGCCACTTGGCTACTGTGTGCAGGAACACCTTGAGGGTGGATTGGGGTTCAAATTCCCATGAAGGTGACCTGCAAGGACTATAATATATGACAGGGAGCTTCCCCATGTCCCTGGGGTTCCCCAAAGCTGGGACACAGTCCTGGTTCTCTTCATCTCCCCACATACAGTCTCCACTCTATGCTGGACCCACCTGCCGACATTGACCTCTGAGTCTGTCCCAAGTCAGGTGACACTGGGGATGGTCAGTGAGCCCCCTAAGGATGGGGGAGCTGGCCACAGGGTCAAGAGGTGGGAGGCAGTGGCAATGAGGAGGATGGGGGCTTCCTGAGGTTAGCCCAGACCAGTTATGGTCTAGCCTGGGCTCACACCCCCACTCTGCCTAGATGACAGGTGTGACGCTTGAGAGCTGCCAGGATGTCATCGAGCAGTTTGAGCCCTGCCCAGAAAATAAGAGCATGGGGGTTCTGGGCATTGACGGTGAGTGGGGGCCACCTGGTGTCCACTGTCTTGGGGACTACCCTGAACCCACTGTCCCAGGGAAGTGTTGCTGGGGGCTCTAGCCATGGCGTGAGCTGGACTCAGGGCAGTGGCCTGAGCCAGTGGCTCCATGAGATGTGGGGGATGGGTGGCTATGAGATGAGCCACCAAGGGCCACACACAGGCTGACCCCCACCTCTGTCTTCTTCAGGCTTCACCAACTACATGCGAAGTCCAGCCGGCGACATCTTCAACCCCGCACACCACAGCGTGCACCAGGACATGAGCTGCCCACTGAGCCATTACTTTATCACCTCGTCCCACAACACCTACCTCGTGGGTGACCAGCTCATGTCTCAGTCCCGCGTGGACATGTATGCTTGGGTCCTACAGGCTGGCTGCCGCTGTGTGGAGGGTGAGCGGTGGCTGCCTCACAGAAGCTCCAGGACCCATTCCCCTCCAGGGCCCAGGCAGGCTCCTGTGGGGGGTAGGGTGGGCTGAGGAGCCAGCCAGTGGCCTTGCCTCAGTGTAATCGCTGAGCAGGTAGATGGTCTTTGCTGAGTGGCCTGTGTGCACCATTGTTGGTGGTGAGGCAGGTGTGGCCTGTACCTTGGCACTGACCCATGGCCTCTCCTCCACTCAGTGGACTGCTGGGATGGGCCTGATGGCGAGCCCATTGTGCACCATGGCTACACTCTGACCTCCAAAATCCTCTTCAAGGACGTCATTGAGACCATCAACAAATATGCCTTCATCAAGAATGAGTGAGTAGGAGTTCCTGGGGGTGCAATGGTTCAGCACTCAACTCCTAACTGAGATGTTGGGAGTTTAAACCCATCCAGAGATGCCTCATAAGAAAGGTCTGTTGACCTCCTGACAAGTCAGCCATTGAAAGCACAGTTCTACTCTGCACACATGGGGTTGCCATGAGTTGGAATAGACTCAATGACAATAACTACAAAGAGAAACGAAATAGGATATAACAATGACTGGCTGGTACTGGGGTGTTGGCTCCAAGGGGTGGGCAGAGGAGGGGCTGTGAGGCTCTGGCTCTTCCTGACCCTTCCCTACATCCTTTTCTGGGGGCAGTGGGCTGTTGTAGCTTCAGGCTGAGGGACTGACTACTTTTGGGGTCTGACTGAGGAGAGAGGGGCAGGGTAGGGAGTAGACCCACAGCTTTGGGGACAGGGACAGCAATGGGGAATGGGCAGCCAACATGACAGGCACGTACAAGTGGCTCCCTGGACACGTTCGCCTGGCAGCCACCTCTGAGTGTCAGATACCTTCAGTGACTTCGGTCTTAATTACCCCCAAGAAGCCACTCTATGTCCAAACTCAATTTGCTGTCACTCAGCTGTGGCTACAGACACTGTTGAACAAAATTCAATTTAGTTTCTGGAAATAGAAGACTGCCTCCCTCACTCGGAGCGTTACCTTCAGGTCTCTGTTAAATGAGGCTCAAAGGCGAGGAAGGAGCTAATCGAATAAGGTGGGAGGAAAAGCAGATTGATTGAGGAAATAGTGACAGAGGGCCCCTCCTGGAAGGATAGCCTGGGTTGTCTCAGCTGGAGGGATGAAGCAAGGGTACTTTAGGGCAGCCCAGCCTCTAGGGCTGCAGGTAGAGGGAACAGCTCCTATAGCTGCCAAGGAGCCAGAGCCAGCTGAATCTCAGGACAGGCACACACCTCAGTTGCCCGTATCATTTTTGTGGGCACCCTGGTTGCCCCCACCACCACCCCGGGACCCTGGGCTCCAAGTCTCAGTCTCTGACCTGAGAAATGGGAGGATGGGATGAGTACTTGTGTCCCAAGCCCTGCTTGCCACCACACACCACAGCATTTGATCATCTCTTGTTCTGGCTTATGCCCTCTCCATTAGGGTCACATTTTCTAAAAGAACCATGGATGCCTTTGGGTAAAACTCCAAGGAAAATGTGCACATGGTGGGAAAAACAAACTAACTAACTGAAGAGCTTATAATGAAAGGTCCCATGTTCAACTCCGTATTCTGTACCCACAAGTAACAGCCATGTTCCACCAGATGAATGTATGCCAGGCTTTTGTCTCCTTCTCCATGGGACCAATGTTGGGACCCAGGCCATCCAAGGGCAGTGTTCCAGTGTCTAGGTCAAAAGTTCATATTTCTTACCATCTGTCTATTGTTCTACATCATGTCTCAGCTTAGTCTGCATCATTTTTGAACCATAGATTTCTCAGATGTGCTTTTTGTTTTCCTGGAGTTTCTAATTGCCTTTCTTTCTTTCCTTACTGAGAGATGAAATACATGTCTTCTTTCCCTGACCCTGAGGTCTCACAACCCCAACCCACTCACTTGTTTTTCAAAGTCACTGGTGGGCCCCTCCTAGAGCAGCTGGCAGCCCCATCCATCCAGGCCTCTTAATGAAAATCCCTCCTTGATCAGTGGCACTGAGGCCCTGACATCATCCCAGCTCCCCCTGCTTTGGGGTCACAGGTACCCAGTGATCCTGTCCATTGAGAACCACTGCAGTGTTGTCCAGCAGAAGAAGATGGCCCAGTATTTGACTGACATTCTTGGGGATAAGTTGGACCTATCGTCAGTGAGCGGCGAGGACTTCACCACGCTTCCCTCTCCAGAGATGCTCAAGGGCAAGATCCTGGTGAAGGTCAGCTTCTGCTCCTGTAAGGGCCAACATCCAACAGGGCACCTGACCTGGGACCAGAACCTGAGGAGGAACCTCTTCCAGACAGGCCCCACCCTGACCTACCTCAGTCTCCCCATGTGTAACATGGTGACCATGCCAATTTCAGGACCTTCGCCCCCCGCCCAACATACACACTGAGTCATGTCCCTTCCACACTGCTGCTGCAGGGTGATGACAAGTCCCAGTCCCTGGTCCCTGCCTGCCCCATCCCCCTCAACTCATCATAATCAAGCTTGAGGAAAGCTCCACCCCTTGCCAGCTGCTTCTTTTGGGTGAAGGCTGCCAGTACTTCCTCCAAAGCCCCTGGGGGTCCGCACCCCTCCCACTGTCTCTCTCCTTCCTCAGGGGAAAAAGCTCCCGGCCAACATCAGTGAGGATGCCGAGGAGGGCGAGGTGTCTGATGAGGACAGCGCTGATGAGATTGATGATGACTGCAAGCTCCTCAATGGAGATGTGAGTAGGGGCGGGACCAGGACAGGGCAAGGGGAAGCCCTAGGCAGGGAGTGGGAGTTCTGCAGCATGAGGAGAGGCTCATGTCCCTGCCATCAGTGGAAGTCAGGAAAGGAGTTTACTGGAGTGGAGGACATTGGGCAGGAGCTGGGGGCGGGGCGTTCCAAAGCCAGCTTGGCTGCCAGGCACATACTGATCCTGGGCCCATTGGGTCCCCTGCTCATCTCTCTACACCCACTAGAGTGTGCACTCTGCATTCCCAGTGGGGCTGACCCTAACGGGGGCAAACACACAGCTGTTGGGGGCCTCTCGCAGCTTCTATTTCTGAACCGACCCTGTGGAAATCGTCCACCAAACCTGCAACATCCTCTTGGCATATGTTCTGGCTATCTAGTGCCACTCTGACAGGAATGTACCACAAGTGGGATGGCTTGAACAAACAGAAGTTTATTCTCTCACAGTTTAGAGGCTTTAAGTCGTAGTTCAAACTGCCAGGCTCTAGGGGCTGGGTGAAAGCCCTTCAACCTTGGGCTTCAGCTCTGCCTCCTGCTCCCGGCCCACTGAAGCTAGAGTCTTTTCTTCATTCAGACAGCTGCTGGCTGCTGAGGCTGACAAGCCCAAGGTTGACAAGTCAAAAGGTACAGTCCCGATGTTACCAAACCACATGGTACGTCACTGATTCAAGTCCATTGGAAGTCCCAAGATAGGCAGAGCATGTCAGGATGCTGAACAACGACTCGGCTACATGCAGGGTTCAAGCATGCCATAAGCTAGAGACTGTTCCCCAAGGCTTTTCCTTATATACAGGAAGCAGACCACATCCTTAAGGCAGCTACTCAGCTGCTCACAGTAGATTCCACCATGGAGATGATTACCAGTCTCATCATGGGGAATACTACATCCGGCTGCCCAGACACTCAACCAGGCCCAGCCAAGTTGACACACAAACTTAATTACCCCGGCGAACTTGGCCAAGTAGTAGCATGGGGTTCAGGGAACCTCCCTGGTCCCAGACCACCCCACTCACATCTGACCCAGGTCCTCCTCCACATTCCCAGCCTGCCTGGCCAACCCTTGTTTGACCCTGGCATGGGGCAGCCTGCCCAGCCACCCTGGGCCTAGCACGTCTCTACTTCAAGGTGTGAATGCAGAGATCCACACAGACACCGGGGTGCATGTGGGGAGAGCTACCTGCCCTGCTTGTCTAGCTATCCCTGCTCTCAGTGGCCACCTGGGCTGGGGCCCGGGGGTGGAGGACTCAGCGAAGTTCTCATACCTGGGTGGGGCTGGGAGCTCTGTAATTAATGCCTCTCTGCTCTGGGTGCCTCTATGCTGAGCCCCTGCTGACAAGGCAGGGAAGACTTTATCTCTCCCTGAGGGGCCACTGGATGGGAAAATAATTGCTCGAGAGCCTTCCCAGCCTCTCGGCTAATTGTTTTAGAAAGCCCTGAGGCAGCAGATCTGGATGTTTGGGGGGGTTGCTGGGTTTCTCATCAGCTGAGGAGATGGCACAGCCACAGTTCCAGATGTCCACTTGGGCTTTCTCCAAACGGGGCTCTGGGGAGTCCCAAATGCTTGGGCCCAGAGAGCTCTGAGGTCATCAGGGCCATATGGACACTGCTTGGGGTGGTGGGCACCAGAACAGCCCCTGGTGTTGAGCAGTCTGTCCACCATTGCTGGTCCACCTCGCTGGGGTGGTGTGACCCCCAACCCTGCACTGTGAAACGTCCCCTGAGAGCCCAGGGCAAGCCACAGGTGTGCTGACTCACACCCCCACCCCACCCTGAGGCCCACTACGCCAGTGCCCACAAATTATCTGCTGGGTCCTAGGCAGCAGCAGCCTGCAGCTGAAGGAGGTGGGAGTTAGAACTAGCCAGGCCTGGGTTCATGTCCCCGGGGCAAATCACATGCCCTCTGTGAGCTGCTCCAATGATGCTGGTGGCCAGTGCCAGCATGGTGGGGACCTGGATGGGTCCCAGCAGCTCCAGCCAGCCCATCCAAGCACCCTACCACTGCCGGGCTGCAGACAGACACCAACCAGCTACCGTCTGGCTCCTGCAGGCCTCTACCAACCGGAAGCGTGTGGAAAACATCGCGAAGAGGAAATTGGATTCCCTCATCAAAGAGTCCAAGATTCGAGACTGTGAAGATCCCAATGACTTCTCTGTGTCCACATTGTCCCCAGCATGGAAGCTTGGACACAGGGCTGAGGGCAAGAAGGTGAGGCTCCCAACACTTGTCCCCCTCCTCATAGCTGCAGTTTTCAGACCTGGTCAGAGGGCCTGATGAGGGGCCCAGAGTGTGCTATCTGTATATGCCACACATGTGTGTACATATATATCGGCACACATATATCTGCACACATACCCTTGCACACACGTGCATACACACGCACACCTGAATGCACACACACCTTCATGTATGCACCTACATACATTCACCCGCACATGCACCTGTATACACATCTGTATATGTAACCTTATACATACCTGCACACACTTATACCCATGCACACACAACTACACACACATGTACATCTGCAAAAATGCACAATGCACATTTACTTGCACATACACACCTATATGCACACAGACCTGTGCACACACCTTCACATACATATACACACAACTCACAGACACCTGCACATACACACACATGAGCACATATGCACATGTACACACGTTCCACGGGCCCGTTGTCCAGTGGCTTACTTCTCCATACCCAGGGTCCTCTGGGTATGGAGTGATTAGCTTTGTTTTGCTTTTCCATGCTGAGGAAGGATTTGAGACACTTACCCTGTCACAGGACAAATTGGCCTGGGGCTCGCTGCACCGTTGTTGGTGGGACTGCTTTCATCTCCTCTGGCCCTTCTGCTGCAGTCTGACAGCCACACATGTTCCCCTCAGAGGCCTGCAGACAGCTCCTGGCCCACACTCTCCACCTCTTCCCCTGGGGATGCTTGGGAGGTGGAGGTCTCCCACGGGAGTGTCCCAAGGGAAGATAGTGCCAGGCTTTCGTGCTGCCTTCACCTACAGCAGGCCCAGCCAAGTGCAAAAGGATGAAGCCTCCTGCCCAGGGCCTCCCTGCCCAGTGCCTGCCCTCTGCCGGGAGCCACTCACAGCCCTGTGCGGCACTTATCTGCATGGAGAGCAGCCATCGGAGGGTCTGGGCAGACACAGGGAAGTGTGTGTCTGGGGGACTGGCTGGGCAGTGAGGCCGAGCACCCTAGCACAGCCAGCCCAGAACGTTGGCTCCCTGTTCAGTGGCCTGAGGGGCCAGAGGTAGCATTGGTGCTGCCTAGGGGCAGAGGCAGGCCTGGAGGGGGCACATGGGGTTTGACGAGAGGGTGAGCAGAGTAGAGAGCACAGACGATGGGGTGGCGTCTCCCCATTCTTGGAGAGCTCACCCTACAGATGCTTCCTCACCCCCCGACTTTCCTGCAGCCCCTCGCTGCTTTCCAGATTTAGGGGCGAAGCAGTGGCTCCTCCTTGGGTCCCCGCCGGGACTTGTATTTTTAGACACGGTTGTTTTTGTTTCCACCCACGAGCACAGCACCATGCTGCACAGCTGATGCCCGGGGAACTCAGACACTCTGTGCAGGTGGCCCCGGCAGGTCCCGTGCTGCCAGACACTCACTTTTTCTAGTACAGAGATGGAGAGGTGGAGTGAAAGCTGGCCACCCGTGCTCTGGGTCACCTGCTTCTCTAGGGTGGGTGGTGTGGGAGCCCAGTCCTGCCGGCCAGAAGGGAGCTGATGTAGCTGACATTACACCTGGGGTCCTGGGATGTACATCTGGCCTCCTGGAAGCAAACCTGGGGGCTCTGGGGACACATCTCAGGGTACTAGGGCACACCTGGAGGTCCTAGAAGATGGTCTCTGGACCTTGGGTCTGAGTGGCCTAGAAGCACCAGGGTGGTGAAGGACCCAGGCTTGGGGAAGGCCTCCTGGAGGCAGAGAAGGGAGCATTCAGGCTGAGCTTTGGGGGTGGAAGGCTATAGATGGAAGGCAGGGAATCCCACCCCACCCAGCTGACCCAGGACCTGCCCTATAGGAGGGGTCAAGGGTGTGGCTGATGATGCAGCCCAGAATGATTTGAGAGCCCATAGGGACATGATGGGAACAGCAGGGCTGAGTTTGTCCCTAACAGGGGCAGGGGGAAGGGAAAGGGAATCTGTCAGCCACAGAACTCACAGCAGGGTGCAGACTCCAGGCAGAGGGATCCTATCATGGCCATTTGGGTCTCACAGGAGCAGGCATTATCCTCACCTGACCTCACCCTAAAGGCATGAGCCTAGGTCCCAAATGCTTCCTCCTCTACAGGAAGGTCCTGTGAGGACGAAGGAGCACTGGATGCAGCAGGGGGGACACTTGGACACCTGGAGGGGAGGGACTGAGAGCACAAAGGGCCCCTGCAGTGTGATACAACTCCAGGGGGCACTGGCACTGGCCAAGGGGCACCCTTGCCCCCTGCTGGTGACTCTGCCCCTACCAGACCTCCCCACCCTGCTCTGCAGCCCTGAGGGCTGGGCCTTGTGGGGAGGGTCGGGCTATATTCTGCCTGGGGTGGACGCTGCCTGTCTGCTGACCAGCCACCTTCCCCTCTCCTATGGGGAGTCAGCTGTCTTCTGCCCAGTTTGGAGAAGAGCGCAGGCTGTGTCAGTGGCATTCCATCCTGTTCTAAAAGACTTGGGCTGCAGTTGGCAAGGCTTCCTCTAGGGACCTGGGCCAGCAGCATTGCTCCTAGGGGTGGATTACCCAGTGAGCAAGGTAAGCGTGGGCTCACTTGTGCTTACCTTCCTTACTAGGTACTCCATCCCTATCAGGGATTACAAATCTGAGAAGAGGTTTAGATTCTGCAGGAAGGTGCTGTGGGGTTGGGAGAGAGATGCCAGCTATACTTAGAAGCAGAATCTTTGATGTGAAATTGTTCATTTCAAATTAGTAAGTAAGCACAAGTAAGCCCAGGTTTACCTTGTTCATTGGGTAATCGGACACTGGTTGCTCCCTTAATTCTGGCCCAGGCTGATGAGCATCAGAGGCTGTCAGTAGCAGCGGTGGCATTTTGGGTGATGTTTAAAGAGTGGCGGAGCATGTCGCCCCCCACGGGCTCTGAACAGACGCAAGAGCAGCTTCCAGCGCCTCCCGCACAGCTCGGCAGCATCAATAAATTAAGAGGAAAACGGGCTGCTGTTGCTGGGGGCTGTGGAGAGAGACACACATCTCTCCAAGCAATTAGGACCTAATCCTGAATGCCTCCGTCACTGAGAGTCTGTGCCCGGGCTGTGGCCAGAGTCCCACTGCTACAGGCTCTGGCATGGGGGGGGGGTGGACAGTAGGAGGGCAGGGCCAGGGTAGCCAGACCTAGGGCGTGGTCATGGGTCTGTCTGGATTTTTGATGCGGGAAAAAGGAAGGAGGAAGGTCTAGGTCATGGGTACAAGCTCTGGAGCTCAAGAATGGCTGGGGCAGCTGCCAGCCATATCCATGACTGACAGGAGGTCTGGCCTGGGGCCTGCAGCCTGTGAAGTGCTCTGTTTTCAAATTGCCTGGCGTGGTGTCCAGCCAGGGTGCACGCAGTTTTGTTGACTGTGAGGTTGGCTCCAGTGCCACGGCTTCTGTGCTTTCTGAATGCCACGGTGGGCACCTTTGGGTGCTTTGGAGCATGGATCCTAGGGCTGGGAGCACCCTACTTGCAGGGCAGTAGGCACCCCCCCCCCCGGGAGCAGCGTAGATGAGGCTCCCAGCTCCATGTTCATGAGGGCTCCAGGTGAGGAAAGCCACCCAGGAGGGGACCTTGTTCACCACCTGGACCAAAAAGTGCCAAGCCAGGGCCTTAGCAGGGGGCTGAGCCAAATGTGGTGGAGAGAGTCTAGGGGGTTGCTGAAGGACCTCACATCAGGGGCCAGGTGTGAATGAGGGGCCCAAAATTGGTTGTCAGCCTGGATTCCCGAGGTGTGCTGGCCTTTACAAAGGGGTGGAGGGCCCCCCAGCTGGCCACACCAGTGGGGACAGCAGCCCCATGTGAGAGCAGGTCGGGCATGTGCAGGGTGTATAAGGAGTGTTTGTGCAGGAGTAGGTACAGGGGTGTGCATGTAGGGATATGTGCACAGGTGTGCATGTAACGGTATGTGTGCAAAGGTATCTGTACAGAGGTGTGTGTGCAGCGGTGCATACAGGGGTGTATGCAGGGATATGCATGCAGGGGTGTATGTAAGGGTGCTTGCAGGACTGCACATGCATGGGATGAGACGTGCAATGGGGCCTCTTGTAGGCAGAGCTGGGCCGAGTTTGGGGGCATCTGCATAGGGCTGACTGTGGCAGGTGGCAGTGGTTGTAGTGGCTTCAGGGATGTAAGCACATAGCCCAGGCTCCCAGAGCTTGGGCATGAATGAAACTTGGGTAAGTTGGCAGGTATGATTGCCCAGATGTAGCTCTCAGGGAAGGGAGCAGGAAGGACCTGGGACACATGCTTTATGAATAGCAGAAGGAAGGTCTGTCCTGCAGCCTGGTAGCCCTGGTGGTGAGCTGAAGGCAGTGTTCATGGCTTTACATTCAGCCCAGCCTTGCTCTCTGATGAGTCTGTGTGTGCTCACCATGCTAGCCAGGCATCAGAGCACAGGCGTCCGGTGAGGGTTACATAAGCAGAGAGCCAAGGAACATTCCAGACACACAGACTATGTGTATCGCACTGTCATTCTGCATAGAAAACATTCAGAACTGTGAACTCAATGAGTTTAAAGAAGCACATTGTGAAAAGTGAGTGTGTGCGTGTATCTGTGCATGCGTGTCAGGACACTTCCATCAGTACCTCCATGGCCCTGATTCACAGTTGTGTTTTCACTGGTAGCTGCCCCTGTCTTGTTTGGGACCCCAGCACCTCCCTCCCAGACCCAGCTCAATCCCCAGCTTCCAGGAAGGCCTCCTGGAGTCTCCTGCGGCCAAGCCTGGCAGAAGCCCCCCACCAAGTTCAGAGCCAACCTCACCTATATTGAGTTCATCCCTGTATCTCTGTCCTTGGCTCTGTGCCTGTCTCTCTCTGTCCCTGGCTCTGTGTCTGTCTCTCTCTGTCTCTGTCTTTCTTTCACTGTCTCTCTCTGTCCCTGGCTCAGAGCAGAGCAGAGGAGGACGTGGACTCAGGGGAGGAGGCTGGGAGCAGCCGGCGGAACAACAGGCTCCTTATGAACAGCTTCTCCAAGCGCAAGGTCTGGGGGACCCCCTGGGGCTGGGGGGCCAGAGCCCACTCCAGAAGGGGGTTGGGGGTGGGTCTCCACTCCCCCTGGCTGGGCTCTCAGGGTCCTCCCTGAGTCCCCCAGTGGCATCACAAGGTTGGCTGCAGGGGCCCAGGGAGGCCCAAGCTCAGAGACTCCATGGCTGGGCTGAAAGCCCAGTAGGGACACGTGGAGTGGGGCTGTGACAGAGGACCAGTAGCCATGGCCAGGTGCAGAGGGGCCTGGGAGGCAGGACAGCTGGGGCACAAGAGAGTGGCTTTGCCTCCTACTGACTTCTGGCCTTCACAATGCCCTGGCCAAAGCCTGGGGCTCCAGCAGGTCTTCACACCTCTCTCCTTCTGCCCAGAAAAAAGGCAGCAAGTTAAAGAAGGTGGCCAGCGTGGAGGAGGGGGTGGAGGACCTAGATGCCCAAGGAGTCCAGATCCGCGGGTCAGTACCCTGCCATGACACTCACACACGCACCCCAGGAGGCAGTCCCTGCAGTGGGTGGCAGGGTGCTCTGGGAGACAGTAGGGAAGGAGGCAGCCGGAGGTGGTGAAGGGCAGGGAATGTGCAGTCCCAGTTCAGGAGCTCAGAATGACCAGGGCGATCCAGTTGTGGCAGTGTGTGTGTGTGTGTATGTGTGTGTGTGTGTGTAGTGGGTCCTGGATCCCGACTCTGGTCAGGCTGCCTGGACGGAGGCCTACAGGCTCTGTGGGAACCCACAGCAACCCAGCAAGGAGTAACATGCTGCTGGTGGAGGGGTTGGGACCGGGTCTCAGTCCTTCTCTCCCTGGTCCAGCCCTCTTCGTCGGTGCTCCACACCACCAGTTCCATCCCCTTCTAGGTCCCACCTCTTCTACTCCTAGGATCCCCCTTCTCCACTCTCAGAGTTCCCTCTAGGGTCCAGTTCCCCTAGCCTCATGCCCTCCCAAGCAGTCATGGCTAGCCTTTAAATGTGTCCATGTGTAAAGGAGCCCAGCCCAGCCCAACCCTCCTGCATTTCTGCCTCCACAGGTGTGCAATTGGCTTCTCAGACCTACCCTCTAAATCTAGGCCCCCTCACCTCTGTTCCCCACACTCCGTCCCCTATCACTTCTGTCCCTCATCACCTTGGTCCCCCTGCCTCTCCATCCTCTATCCCCTCCACCTCTATACACCCACTAACAGCTCCCCATCCTTCCCATCATCACCCCTGAAACCTCCCCACATCCTCCTGGCTCTGTCCTCAGCACACACCTGCAACCCCACCTCTCAGCCGAAAAGCTTCCTTCTGTCCCAGGCTCTCCTCTGCTTGGAAATTTCTGAAGCCTCCATTTGCCTTAGAGGGCTTCCTATCCCATGCTCCGGGCCCCATCTAGCTGCTCAGTACTCTTCTCACACCCTATTAGCCTTAACACCTACTGTTAATAGCCTTAACACCTATTGCCCCCATAGGTCTGAGTCTGGGGGTGTGGCCATCCTGGCCACCAGGCCCCATTGTCTCTGAAGCACTCAGTACTTGTCATGTTCCCCTTTGATAGGTTCACAACCCCCTGGTCCCCTTGTGACCTCAGGCTTTTGACCTGCCCCCCCCCCCCACCTCATAGGGTGACCCGGCAGAAGAAGACCATGAAACTGTCACGAGCCCTGTCAGACCTGGTGAAGTACACCAAGTCTGTGGGGACACATGATGTGGAGACGGAGGGTGAGCAGGGCCGAGCATGGGGCAGGCTGTGTGCAGGGAGCCAGCCAGCCCTGAGCCCAGTGCACAGTGGGGAGGGGCTCCCTCTGCCCAGGGGGGGCCCTGACCTTGGGATGCATGTTGGGGAGGGCTGCACTGATATGGTGCACTTCGGGGAATTCTGAGCCAGCGGACTGCCCTCTGATGGCCGCCGTCTGCATCGGCCAGTGCTGTCCAGCTGGCAGGTGTCATCCTTCAGCGAGACCAAGGCACACCAGATCCTGCAGCAGAAGCCGGCCCAGTACCTGCGCTTCAACCAGCACCAGCTATCCCGTATCTACCCCTCATCCTATCGTGTTGACTCCAGCAACTACAACCCTCAACCTTTCTGGAATGCCGGCTGCCAAATGGGTGGGTGACCATGGTCAGTGCACCAGGGGGCACTGAGGAGCCCCCAGGAGAACCTCCATGCCATCCTGTCAACTCTATATGCTGATGCGGAGCTGGTTCCTAAGGAGACATGGGGCTCTGCCCATGCATGCCTGGGGTCTGGGTCTGCAGGGGGGCTGGCTGTGCTGGGCTCCATGGGTGCCCACCAGGAACGAGGAGCCAGGGGTTGTGCCCCGTGTGGCCCCCAGAGCCCCCAGTGCTCCTGGTGCTGGGGGTGGGGTAGCAGGTACACCTGGTGGGGGGGTAGGCCAGTATGAGCGGTGACCTGTGTCCTGCTTCACAGTCGCCCTGAACTACCAGACGGAAGGACGCATGCTGCAGCTGAACCGTGCCAAGTTCAGTGCCAACGGCAACTGTGGCTACGTGCTCAAGCCCCCATGCATGTGCCAGGGTGAGGTGCCTGGGGCGTGGGGGAGGGGGGCGATGGGGCAGGAGGTTGGGGCCAGGAGGGCTGAGTTGAGGGGGCTGCACCAAACAGTAGCTTCAGCAGGGTCTACTGGTTGAGGTGCAGGATACTGGGGCTGGAGGCATTCACCATGCTGGTGCTGGTGTTGCATGAAGGACCCCAAATTCAGCCAGGAATTTGGAAGTGGTGAATTAGAGAGCCCCTCCTCTGGGCCCCTGGACGAGGTTTGCTGGCAGGAGCAGGCAGGACTTCTCAGGGGCATGGTGCCAGCTCCCCCCAACCCTGGGCCTGCCCCCTACCCCGGGCCTGCTTCAGTCTGCAGGGGTGTAGACCCAGGTACCCTAGAGGCCATTCTCTGGGTAGGGCATTTTAAGGAGCTCCCTACTTCCTCCTCCCTCCCCTCCCCCACCCTCCCCTCTCAGAGATGCTTCCTTTGCTCCCTGACATGCTGAAAATGATTTATGGATTTGTTTCCATTTTAATCCTAATCCCTCCTCCCACATGCCCTCTTGGTTTGTATTTCACCCTCTTTTATCAGCACTTGTCCCCCGTCCAACTTGCCAACCTTCACAGGCCCTGGTGTGTGGCCAGAGAACCCACCTCTGGACTCCTAGGGCCTAGGCCCCTCCCACCAGGGTTCACCACCCCACAGATTCCCAGGGCCTGGGTCCTTCCCCACCGGGGTTCCCAGGGCCTGGGTCCCCTCCCTACCAGTACCCCCTACCCCACAGGGGTTTCCAGGGCCCAGGATCCCTCCCTACCAGGGCTCCAGGGTCCTGCCTCCCATGCAGAGTCAGCATGACCTTGTACAAGTATCTGAGCCCCCAGCTCACCTGTAAGACAGCGTGTGGGGATCCCATGTTGTGTCCCGGCACTTGGTCTGAGCCACCTGTTGGTCAAGATCCTCTCCAGCACTGTGATATTGCCTCTCCTCTCTGCCCGGGGCCTCGGGTTCCCACCTATAAAATGTAGGACAGGGAAGTATGGCTACTGGCAGCCCAGTGCCCGCTGGGGATCTGTGGGGCTGTAGAGAGGGCCATGCCTGCTCAGCCTCCTGCCCTGGCCCCCAGGCGTCTTCAACCCCAATGCTGAGGATCCACTGCCTGGGCAGCTCAAGAAGCAGGTGGTGCTGCGGATCATCAGTGGGCAGCAGCTCCCTAAGCCGAGAGACTCCATGCTAGGGGACCGAGGAGAGGTAGGGGGCCATGGGCTCGATGCTGGGGACTGTGGGGGAAACAGGGAGGCCATGGGGAAGTAGGAGGCTGCGGAACTCTATGCTGATGCTGATGCTGATGCTGGAGACTGTCGGGAGGTAGTGGGGCTGTGGGCAGGTAGAGGGGCCATAAGACTTGATGCTGGGGACCACAGAGAAGTAGCCAAGCAGTAGGACTAGATGTTGAGGAACTACAGGGGTATAGGGGGAACCATGGGAAAGTAGGAGGGCAGGACTCAATGCTGGGGGGCCGATGAAGAGATAGAGGGGCTTGGGGAGGTAGGAGGGGGCTGTGTGGGCAGCAGAGCTGAGCTGGGCCACATGGCCAAGGGGGAAGATATTAGGGGGACAGAGCTAAGCTGGGCCACATGGCTGAGAGGGCAGAGATTAGGGGGCCAGAAGCCTGGTGCCTGGGCCTAGGATACCACCTGTACCTCTGGGACCACCAGATCATCGACCCTTTCGTGGAGGTGGAGATCATCGGGCTCCCCGTGGACTGCAACAAGGAGCAGACCCGTGTGGTGGATGACAATGGTGGGGCGCGGAGCGGGGTTGGGGGACAATGATGGGAGACATAGAGCAGTGGCGGTGGGGAGGAAAATGGGAGGCAGCAGGGCCTCCATACACTTGTGCCTTGGGCACCCCATCCCAGTTCCCAGCCATCTCCCTGCACTCAGGGACTATGCCCCAGGCCACCGTCAGCTCATTGTTCCCCTGGATGCGAGTAGCAGTCATGGCCCTAGCTCCCAGGTGGCCCAGGTGGCCAACATGAGGCTAGTGCTTCAATGGGCAGAGCTCTTGCAGTGGGTGGCTGGACCCTGAGAGGGGGGTGATGCCCTTCTGATGGCCTCCAGGATTCAACCCCATGTGGGAAGAGACCCTGGTGTTCCTGGTGCACATGCCCGAGATGGCACTGGTCCGCTTCCTTGTGTGGGACCATGACCCCATCGGGCGGGACTTCATTGGCCAGAGAACACTGGCCTTCAGCAGCATGATGCCAGGTGGGTGGGCTGGGAGGCACCTGCTGTGGGGAGTAGGGCCTTGTCAGTCCAAAAGGACACAGATGGGGCTTGGGGGAGGAGGGCAAGGAAACCCTGGGGACTTGGCCTACTTGGGGGAGGAGAACACTTCATTCCTGAGGCTGGAGCAGTCTCAGTGGGCTTTCTGGAGGAGGTGGAACTAGAGGGCAGGGAGAGGGGGAGACCTTGGACAGGGCTTGTTGGGGACTCAAGGACTTGTAAGTGTATGGGCAAGTAGGGGTGGGTAGGAGCCAGTGACCACTGTTGCAGGCTATCGGCATGTGTACCTGGAGGGCATGGAGCAGGCCTCCATCTTTGTCCATGTGGCCATCAGTGATGTCAGTGGTAAGGTGAGTGCCACCTGCCAGCCACCTTCGGCCATCAGAAAAGGGCAGCCCCAGCCCCAGCCCCAGCCCAGCAGTGTCCCCTGCTACCCCAGTGCTGGCCCTTGACCCATGGGGCAGTGAGTCCCCCCCTCCTGGGGCCTCTTTCTCCACCTTCAAGACAGGGTAGTGGGAGGATGCCTGGCCCCAAGCCTGCCAGGTAGACCTCTGTGTCCCCACACTCGCTGTGGGGCCCTGCTCCCTGCTTTGGCCTGCCCAGGGCCTGGTCACTAGTTTTTGTCCCACCCCCTGTAGCAGCTCTCCCAGGCCTTCCTGGGCCCCCAGGTCAGGGTGCCATGGCCCCCTGAGGTGCCACAGCCAGCTCCTCCTTCTTTCCCTGAGACTCCCCTCCCTCTTCTTTCCCTAAGACTCCTCTCCCCCTCTCCCCCTCTCCCTGCCCCTTCCCACCCAGGGCTGCCCTCCCACTCTGCAAGCTGTATGCTCCTGCCTGGGTCTGATATTCCCATCAGCAAAGGGCAGGCCCAACTGCTTGGACCCAGCTCAGGCCCAGCCCCTGGGGCCACCAGGCACAGCAGCCAGTCCAGGCCCTAGCACTGGCTGTCTCTCCTGCCACTCTGTGGGGCCAGAGGTGCCAGCTAGAGCCTGGGCTCACCGTCTGTCCGTGTGTCCGTCCATCAGTCCGCTGTGTCTGCCTGCCGGGCGCTGGGCCTCTCCAGCTATGCTGCACCTCACCTGCGTTTGCTCTGTCTCTTTGGTCTTGCAGTGGGTCTCTATGTGCAAAGTCCACCTTTAGAAGCGCAGCCCTGTTAGGAGCCTCCAAGGTACCCCGCGAGGACGGTGCCACTCCCCCTCCCGCATGCTCAGACCACTGCCCCTCATTAGCATCCGCCACCACTCGGTAGCATTTTGGAAATTGTCCGCTCGTGTGACATGGGTGATGCTGTGGCTCCTGGGCTCCGCGGGCCATCCTTCAGCCAGAGCAGCATTTACAAAGCAGACCCAGGACTTCAGCAGGGCCCTAGGGTGGCCTTCCATCCACTCCTCCCCCACTCCCCTCCTCTTTCCCCCTCCCCACTCACAGGCCTGCTCTGGCCCCTTCCCTCCTCCCCTACTGTCCCTACCCTCTCCTTTCGCAAACTCACTCACACTGCAAACCCTCTCCCTGCCTCCCCTCCCTTATCTTCCCTTCCTCCTGCCTCACCCTATTTTCCTCCCTCTCCCTCCCCCATACCACCCTACCCCTACATCCCCTCTCGGCCTATGCCCCCTCCCACTGCATCCCTCTCCTTCATCTCTGTGCCCCTCACATCCCCCTTCCCCTATGTCCTCCTTCCTATCTGTGCCCCTCCCCCATCTCTGTGCTCCCCCACTGTGTGCTCCCCTCTTAGCCCCTGTCCCTGATCCTCTCATCTGTGTCTGGGGTGGGGAGATCCCAGGACTGGGAAGGGAGCTCCAAGCCTGAATTCTGGATCTTCTTATAAATGACTTTGGCAGAGTCTGACCAAATTGCACTTGGATTTGGGATCTTGAATCGGGACGCTGATTCAAGTGCTGCCACGCGGACGCCTCTGCCTAGAGGTGCTGCTGGGGCTGACTGCCCGCCAGGCCGCTGGGCCGCGCTGTGCACGAGCCCGCAGGTCATCAGGGAGGAGAGGGGTAGGGGGGTGGGGCCTGGGGATGCAGAGTTTCTGGGGTGCGGTTTGTCTGGCATGCAAGGATCCCTGGCCTGTGCAAACTTGGTACGTGGCTGCCAGGCCCTCTTGGTGGTGACTAGACCCACCTGAGTCCCTGGACCAGCTATCCAGAAGGGCCATATGGCTGACGCTGGCATCTGAGAGGCTGGTGTCTGAGCCCTAGGCTTGCAGTCGGATCCCTGAGGCCCTGTCAAGACTCAAGGGGTGCTGAGCCAGCCTTGAGCTCCATCTTCTGAGCCTGGCAGTAGTATACTTGGAGAACATCTCTGTGTCTGTCCCAGGCCTGCCAGTGTCCAAGGGCAGGAGCTAGGCCAGACAGGTGGCTGTTGGGTCCTTGTTCTAACATCTTTCTCTCCACGCCAGCACCCCCTGGCAGAACAGGGGCTGCGGGCCTCAGGGGGTGCAGGGTGCCGGGGACGCTGGTTCTTGGTTTCAGGTCTCACTTCTCCCGCCCCTTGCAGCCCCTCCTGCTGCACACCCAGGGACCTGCCTCCACCCCAGCCAGCCTGATCTGACCCAGGCAGCTGCTATCCAGCTGTCCATGGCTCCTTCTGCCCACACTTGCCAGTGCTGCGGGTGGGTGCTCCCTGGCCACCAGTAATGCTGGGTCCTTTCTCTTGCAGGTCAAACAGGCTCTGGGTCTAAAAGGCCTGTTCCTCCGCGGCCCAAAGCCCGGCTCGCTGGACAGTCATGCTGCTGGGCGACCACCCCCCCGACCCTCCGTTAGCCAGCGGCTCCTGCGGCGCACGGCCAGTGCCCCCACCAAGAGCCACAAGCCGGGCCGCAAGGGCTTGCCAGAGTTGGTCGTTGGGACTCAGGACACGGGTTCTGAGGGGACGGCTGACGACGTGGCACCCCCCAGCCCCACCCCAGGGCCCCCACCCCACGAGGTGCCCAGCAGCGTCAGCCCCCGAGGTAAGGTGCTGACACCCACAGCAGCTGCGGCGGCGAGGAGTCCAGCCACAGTGCCGCCCCCGTGTGTCCCTGAGGGCCCTGGGCCTGCAGGCATGGCTGCCACATGCATGAAGTGCATGGTGGCCTCCTGCACTGGCATGGACGCTGAGGGCCTGCTCAGGGAGCGGCCGCCCAGCCCGGGGCCCATGGGTGCCCACTCAGCCATCAGTCAGCAGCCCAGGGCCCGGGCAGATGCACTGGGGGCCCCCCGTGGCACTGGGGGTCCCCGAGCCACTGCGGCCATGCCCGGGAAAAACAGAGAGACCTCTGAGGGCTGCGGGGCCCGGCGGCAGCGGCCGGGTGGCGGTGGCTCTGTGTCCTCGGATTCCAGCAGCCCGGACAGCCGTGGCAGCCCCGAGGAGGGCCCCCGCTGGCCAGAGGGTGCCCGCAGGCCACCAGGGGCCCTGCAGCGGGAGATGAACGCCCTGTTCATTCAAAAGCTGGAGGAGATTAGGAGTAAATCCCCCATGTTCTCAGCTGGTAAGGCCAGCCCCGCCCAGCCCCCTCCCTGCAGTGTCCCCTGCTCTCAGCATGGCCTGGTTCTGTCTCCACCGCTGTCTGTCAAACACCGCCACCCTGGGTGCACCATCCGCTTTTGTTGTGCTGTGCTCCATCAGCTGGTCCCACCTGCCCCTTAAGCCCCACCCAGCCCTCCCTATCACCACTTCTCTCTGGTCTGAGGGGCCCTGGTGCTCCTGGAACCCAGGGGAGTAGGGTGGCCTAGGTGCTATGGTTCTGCATCCCATCCCTGCTAGGATGAGCCCAGACAAGGGCCTGTGAGCAGCATTTGCTGAGGGTCACATCTGGCCCAGTGCACACCTGGCCTTCCCAGCCGGGCTCTCATCACAGGGGCCCATAGGAGACCTAGAGGCTCAGATGTTCCCAATGCCCTTCCTGCACCTCAGTTGGCTTGTGGGCTCCCCCTACCCAAATCTCCAGCCCATCCAAGGTGAGGCTTCTGCCCCCACCTCAGCTGCTGGCCACAGTCACCCCCCAAGTCTGACATGTCAGGGGCCAGCCGTAACCCTTCCTACTAGTGGCCCAGGGCACTCAGAGTACTGATGGAGTCGATTCTTAGCCCCACATGCACCTAGCACCTAACTCAGAGGCCCTGCCAGGCCAGTCCTACAGTGCTACCTGCACCTGTACAAAGTATATAGAGCTCACTGCAGGCAGGGTCATAGGGGCTCTGAGCCGTTGGAGAGCCAGCCTGGGGGCAGGGCAAGCTGGCTTGCCTTCCCTCCCTCCCTTTGAGCTCCTGCCCTGTACCTGCCCAACCTTGCTATCAGTCTATCTGCCTGCCAGGCCACCTTACCCCCAGCCCCTCTGACAGTCTTCTCCTTTCTGTCCCTGTCCCCATGCTGCCTCTGTAGTTAGGAACTGACGGCGGCTGAGTGCCAGGTAACAGGCTGGCTGCCCTGTGTGCCATGTGTGTGTCCTGCCTGAAGACCCATGGGTCGGCGTTGGGCTGTGGCTCTATGGCCCCTCTGCTCCCCTAGCTCTGGAGGGTGGCTGGGGGAGGGGCACATTGGGCACCCATGTGTGCAGATGGACGGCCTGGCTGCTGGAGGCCCCAGAATCCTGGCCCATCGTCCCTTGGCATGGAGACCAGGGGCACCTACTGACACCCCTCTCTCTCTTGCCCCCCAGACGCCTGCCCCTCGTCCATGCAGAGGTCTGTCTCCTCCTTGTATGGCCTGGAGACCATCACTGAGGAGCCGGCCCCTGGCCTCCCACCGCCACCGGCTACCCCCACCAGCTTCTACTCAGAAGGTTCCCAAAGCTCTGCAGGACCTGTAGCCAAAGCTGCAACAGGCCCCCTAGGGGTGGCCCCGGGAGCTCCTGGGCACCCCCAGCTCAGGACCAGTGACCACAGGGACACTGAGGTGCCCCCTGACAGCAGGCGGTGGGTGTATCATGGTGGGGCCTCTGGGGGGCTGTCTAAGGGGGCTGCTGGAAGCCAGGTGGGCTGCAGAGGCCAGCCTCAGGCCCTGGGCCAGCTGCCCCTAGTCAGAAGGGCCAAGAGTAACGGGCAGGTGCCCACAGAGCCACTGGGTGGGTGGCAGCCCCTGGCTGGACCCTCCCCCATCCCTGCCGTGTACTCAGATGCCACGGGCAGTGACCGGTTATGGCAGCGTCTGGAGCCTGGTAGCCACCGCGACAGTGTGTCCTCATCTTCCAGTATGTCATCCAGCGACACTGTCATCGACCTCTCCCTACCCAGCCTGGGCCTGGGCCGCAGCCGTGAGAGCCTGGCCGGGCCTCCATCTGGCCGCCTGCCCTCACGGCCCTGCTCCACCTGCCCAGGCCTGCCCCCAGTGACCAAGAGCAAGTCCAACCCCAACTTGCGGGTTGCAGGTCAGCTGCCCTCTGCACCTGACGAGCTGCAGCCCCGGCCCCTGGCCCCACAACCACACAGGTCCCTGTCGGGACACCGCCCCAGGCCACCCTGGGGCCGCCTCTCCCTAGTGAGCCTCCAGGAATGCCCTGCCGCCGCCAAGTCCAAGAGTCTGGGAGACCTGACTGCTGACGACTTTGTGCCCAGCTTTGAGAGCAGGCCTCGCAGTCCTGGCAGAGGCCTGGGCCCCCCAGGCGAACAGCGGCCAGATGCCTTGACTGAGCAGTTGCGCTGGCTCACGGGCTTCCAGCAGGCGGGGGACATCACCTCACCCACCAGCCTGGGCCCGACTGGGGAGGGCACGTTGGCAGCTGGAGCACCTGGTTTCCTACGACGTTCCTCCTCCCGCAGCCAGAGCCGTGTGCGTGCCATTGCAAGCCGTGCCCGCCAGGCCCAGGAGCGGCAACTGCGGTTGCAGGGCCCGGGTGCACCGGGGCCCCCCGAGGAGGAGCGTGGCACCCCTGAGGGTGCCTGCTCCGTGGGTCGCGAGGGCTGCGTGGACACACCGGCCCCCCACAAGGGAGCCCCCAGCCAGGTGTGTGGCACCACCGTCAGTCCCCTCTTACTTAGACTCTGACCACTGCCACAGTCTGCCTGTGCCCTCCAGGCCCAAGCAGGGGGGCCCTCGTGTTTGCTCAGGAAATGGGGCATCCGTTACAGGTCCCCAGAGCTGGCCCGTATGCTGAGCATGCCAGTGGCTGGCTATATCCACGTGGCTGTTCTGGCCGGGGCTCTGCCCCTTTGCCCTGGTGGCTGCCCTGTACCTTCCACCCCTGGGGTGGGGAGGGGCTGAAGCTGGCCCCGCCCCTAGCCCTGTCACTGTTTTAAGATATATACAGAGAAAAGTATTTAAATTTTTAGAAACAATGCTGAAATTATACCCAAGCCCTTTATCATTTTTTTTTTTTTAACCTGGGATTGTAGCCCCTGGGTGTGTGTGTTGTCTTGGGGAGCCTTGCCCCCAAGGAGTCTGCCTCCCAGGGCATGGGCTGAGTGCCCATAGCTGCTGGGATGTTGCCCACATCCCACCTGACTTCGAATTTGGCCTGCTCTGACACCTGTCCTCCACATCAGGACATTTTAAAGACTTTGTAGACTCTGGAACACGACTCCAATAAACACATTCTCACTTGGGGTTGCCTCTGGGGTGCTGCCGATTCAAGCTTTCGCTCACTCCTGTTCCTACTTCCAGGCAGGGTTGATGCCAGCTGACTAGCTCCCAGGGCAGGGGGGTTCCCATGTACACCCTCTGCTGAGTCTAGTCCCCTCCCACTCCTCAAAGGGCAGAGCCTTACCCTGGGACAGAGACCTCGGGCCAGAAGCCCCCCAGGGTGGGGTCACAAGAGGCAAGGCGCACTGAAGCCTCCGCCGCCACGGTCACACTCCAGGTGTTCTCCACTGGGAGGTCGAATAGGGCAGCTTTGGGGAAGCATGCGGTGAGAGGCCAAGGTCAGCGCTCTCCCTCTCTGTGAGGCCCTGTGCACCCCCATGTGGGGTGATGCTCAACACTCCATCCCAGCCCAGGCATTTCCCCAGGCCCCTCTGTACAGCATAGCTGAGGAGACAGCTCGTCCTCCACAGGGGGCTGAAGCCAAAGGACTGGTGCCTCAGGGGAGCTCCAGAGCAGAGGAAGGCAGACATCCCAGGGCTGAGGCCCAGGGAGGCCTCCTGGATGATACATGGGGCCGAGCCCTCCAGGGGAACAGGCTGGAAAGGGCTGTCTCTGTCCACGGGCACCAAGGCTGGGTCCAAAACATCTGGGGAGGGGTCAGGCTTGCAACCTGGAGTGGGAAAGTGGCACTGGCAAGGGTGTAAGTAGGGTCTAGCCTGGACACCCATGGGCCACCAGGCTGTGGGGGTGCCAGGCAAGGGGTGTAGTTGAAGGTGGGTGGGGGCTGTGGCGCACAGGGACTGGCCAATGCCAAGAGGGCCAGCATGGCCTATAGCGGCTGCTGTGGTTCTGGGTCACCCAGAGGAGCTAGGAGGACAGCTGCAGCTCAGGCCTGGCCGGCTCCTATTGCCACCTGGTGGCAGTCTTCAGCTGGGTTTGGCTGGCTCTGCAAACTGGCCTGGTTCTGCTCGAAATCACTACTACAGGCTAGCCAGGCGTCTGGCCACCTGTGGACAGCTGGGCACGACATGGTTGGGACTCCATGCTGAGGCATCCAGGGGGGCTTAATCAGCCGTGGAGGGAGGGGCAGACCCAGACATCACCCGGCTGGGGAGTGGGAGCAGCTGTTCCACACGGAGCCGGAGCAGAAGGCACAGGGGTGGACGCGCTGGGAGCCCAGCTCATCTGTCCACAGCACTGGCCTGGTGATGCCTCCTACTGTCCTTTGAGGACCAGGCCCAGCCACACGCAAAGGCATGTGTGGGGGAAAGCTCCCCAGGACTGGGAGTCTCATGCAGATTCCCTGACTGCAGGACAGAGCTGCTAGGCAGGGGTGCAGGTTGCTGGCTTCCTTGGCCCAAGAGCAGGGCCAGTGCTGGGGTTCCTGTTGGAGGCCGTGGCCATGACTACTGCCTGGGCCTGTCCCTTCCTGGCTCCTCTGCTCCCCGCAGACAAGTGGGCCTTGGTGGAGCTGCAACAACTCAGCCTCCATAGAGACTCACCTGGCAGTTCAGGGGTAAAGAGTCTGCATGCACCCCCTCTGCAGGGTCACAGCCCCGTAGTCTGCGGCCAAGTACCCCTGTGTGGATTCTGCCAGACAGCCCTAGCCCCATCAACCTGATGCATTCTCCCTCTCCAGAAAATACCCCTATTCAGTGACCTCCAGCCCTGCACATGACCCCACTCTTGTGGTGGCAGGTCACACATGGTTTTCTGTCCACGCCCTCTCCCCACCCCAGGAGGTCAGTGGTGCCCAAGTCCAGGGGCAATCAGAGAGAAATCCACTGGGTGCTCAGCTTGGCACCCACAGATGCCGCCTCCACCCCAGCGCCCTTGAGAGTGGTTGATGCCTCCTCTTGCCAACTCTCAAGCCAGGAGGGTGTATAGGTTTCACATGTTCCTGCCATGTGCAAAGGGGCTGTGGTGGGCCAGGGACGGACATGGAGGGACACATGCAGCCTGATGCCCTGCTCAAAGTGGCCCCCTTTTTGAGCCCCTGAGGCCAGGGTAAGGAGTACAGAAAACCAGGTGACAGCAGCTGAGGCCAGCCCTGGGGACCCTGCTGCTAAGGGGCCTGGGGTCTGACACCACAAGAAGGACAGGGGTGCTTTGGGGCTACAAGTGTTCTAGAAGTAATTGCAGACAAGGTCCACACTTTAGACTTGTCCTCCCTGGACACACTTCCTGGACAAGACAGCAGATACACAAGCTGCCTGGTTTCACTCTTTAAAAATTCTATTTGGTGTGTGCCCAAGCCCGCTGGCATCCTCTGTCAAAGATATATATGTATATATTTAGATTATAAGATTATTTAACAGTTAAATATACTCCAACACAAGTGTCTCACAGGACAACAGGTGCGTTTCCTGTCACAAACACACAGCATGAAAAGAAACACGCATCACACGAGTGCCACAGTGACGCGGCACACTGCTGCTGGCTGTGGGCACGGGCTGGCTCGGCACTGCGTCACAGAAGCACAATTAAACTTGGGCTCTGAAGGGCGCAGTTCCCCATGGTGGTAAAAATACATTCTCTACAAGGACGAGGAGGCCAACACCGGTCTGTGCAGCAGGCATGGCCCTCATTCGGCTGGGACCTCATACTTGAAGATGACACTGAAGAGCTGGCCGCCGAGCCGGTCAGCCAGCCATGAGTTCTTGATGACAGCCAGCTTGAGGCTCTCACAGCGCAGCACAGCGTGGTAGTTGGTGTGGATGGCGCGGCCCATTCCCTCGATGACCACCAGGTCGGCGCCACGCTCCCGCACCAGCGTGGCCAGTCCCTTGTCCAGGCGGCTTTGGGGAGAAAGGGTGTCAGTGAGTCAGGGTACCGGTGTAGACACTCCCCGCCTCCCATAAACAGTGATAACCGAGACAGCGTCCAGAAAACCCCGCCAGTCAATGACTCCATTGTGTCTATGTGGCATTTTTGAGTCTGGACTGTTCTTACAACAGGCCACTGGCCCTGAGCCGCTCAGGTGAACCAGCAACACCAGTTGCTGTGGGCCCAGTTCTGGACACTCTGCCTTAATAACCTCCCTCATCTGTTAACTTTAAAAGATCTTATTCCTCTTCATACATTTCATCACCCTTCGTCACTGGCTAGCAGTAGGAAAATGAACATGGGAGAAAGAGGGATAAACAAACATTGGACAATTGCTACCCAAACAGAATGCATGACTAAAGCCCCAGTACAGACTCTCCCTGCGAGGGCATGTTCTCCAAGGTAGTAGCTCTTCTATCTTCAGGACCACCAGGGACCGAGGCACTAACAGTAATCTGACTAGGGGGTCACTGGAAGATGGCTTTGCTCACTCAGATCTTGCCACAGAGGGCCCATCTCCTGATAGGGACACCAAGGCCTGAGAGACCAGACAGGGGGCCCTGAGTCCCACAGGGAAACACGCTCAGACCAGGAGTGCTGTGCCCCTCCTGTGTGAACCAATCACACCCAGCACACAGATTCAGCCTGTCCACCCTCTATAATACCCTGAGAAAGCAGGGGAGGTCTGAGGTCAGGCATCAAGAGGGGTCAGAGGGTCCAGCTCCGGAAGCCTTGGGGCAGGTACTGACTCCTGTCATCATCTCACAGGCACACAAGTGGACCCTGGGAAGGCCACTAGGAGGCTGCAAGGGTGCCGCCTGCCTGCTGGGTTACCTGAGGTCGAGGCACGGGGAACTGGAGCCAGTCTGCACCAGCAGCAGCCTCTCTTCCTCCAGTGCAGAGCTGCCAGAGCACAAGACAGTTGGAGCCTGAGAGGGCGGAGCCTCAATGCTGCCCCGCCCACATCAGGGAACCCCATGTATTCCAGGAACCCCACCCACCCTGGGGAACCCTACTCACTTTAGGGAGTTCTGCCCACTTCAGGGAATCCCGCCCTCCTCAGGGAGCCCCGCCCACCTGTTACTGCCCACCTAGCTTCATCATCCCCTGTACGTCTTCCCAAGGACCAGCCTGGCCTCCTCAACCCCCTTTTCAGGAGTGTCTGCCTCCACCCCAACACCCTCAGGGCCCCACTTTCTACACATACCCACACTCACACATGCATCCCTGCACTCACTGGATGATGGGGTCCATGGCAGCTATCCGTTCAGCCACAATGAGGGACTCGCTATAGGTCACATCATTCAAGGCAGGCCCAGAGTTGCATGCCAGGATGACCTGCAGCAGGGAGGGCCCGAGGGAGGCACTTAGGGCCCTTTGCAGAGCCAATACCCCCTGCCCCCAGGGCTCTCAAAGGCCTCTCTGCATTTTAACAAGGTGACTGGCAGCACCCACTGAGGCTCGTGCTCCTGCTGGGGCCCCTAACTGCCCTGTGACCTCTGGAGGCACACAAAACCTGCCATAAGGAAACCTGCCCGCCCGCCACAAGGTCAGCTCTTGGCCCCAAGAGCATCTCTCTGGCTGCAGAGAATTCGGGCATCAGGCACAGGCTTATGCACATTGATCCTTATCCCATGTGA